ACCAGGTTGAAGAGATGTGGAAGCACTCAGCTTCACTGACAAATATGTGAGTTGTTTGGGAGGGCCAGTGACACATTGGTGAAAAATGATGGAATTATGCGACTTTGTACGTGCCCGAGGGGTCCCTGGTGATCCTATTTCATTAATGGAAGAGCAGAAGGTGATTAAAACAAGAGAGCCAGGTTAGTCTCTAAAACAGACATGGCTACGGCTTGATGCTAACATGTTTGTTAGCCGTCAGAAAACAGTCAGAATTCTGAGATTAAAGTCAGAATTCTGTGATTAAAGTCAGAATTCTGAGAAAAAAGTCAGAAGTTTGAGAAAAAAAACTTTAATCTAAGAATTCTTAGATTAAAGTCAGAATTCTGACTTTTTCTCATACTCTACTGAAATACAAATTTAAATCAGTTAACTTTTTTTATTTTTTCAGATGGCCCCATCCTCTTCCATACAGAACAGTTAAAAACAAAAAAAATAAATAAATAATAATTTCAAAATAATAAAGTGCAGAACATGAATCTAGCAGAGTAGGTGAGAGGTGTGAGCAGGGGCCCTGCCAGGAATTTGGGGCCACATGAAAGACATTGATATTGGGCCCCACCCAAAAAAAGTAAAAAACTAAATAGATTTTTATATTTGAAATATTTACTAGAATATATGTTTTCTGATTCTTGTGTTCATTGTCACTTTATTAAACAAGCAGAGCAACAGTAAATAACCTCTCAGGTTTAGTCAATAGTTAATTTCAAGTCATGTAAAGAACATTAGTAAGGATCAGATTAATAAGCAAAGAAGTATAATTACCGATTAGAAATGCAAAGTAATCAGTATGTGCTCAGGCAGTTTCTAAGCGGCATCATAAACACAGATAAAAATATAAATGGATACAAACTGGAGGCTGGAACCCAGGGTCAGGTCAAATTTAAATGGTTTTCAAACTTTCCAGCCTTGTTTATAAAAGTGAACCCAGCTAATCTGTTGAACTCCTTATGGTATCTTGGCCATATGCATAAGAAATTGTATCGCTTTGTCCAGTTCCAGCTCAAAACAGACCCTAAACAGGTCTTAAAAGCGGCCCCGGGAGCCCTCCTTCCATCAGTCAATGAGTCCCCTTGCTAGTTTCTGTTAGCTATCTGTTATTACACACAAAACATAAACACACTATAGAATAAACCTTACATGTTCATATTTATTAGTGTAATAAAGCCTATTACTTTCAACTGCATAATCCTCAAGTTTATATTTACTATTGCTAAAGTGTAACATTAAGTTAATAATGTATGTATTTAGGTCAGATACATAAAAGATATTGTATGATAATGTGATTACCTATACATAACAAATAGCATATATACTTTTTTGAATTGCATGTCCTCTATGCTAATGTAAACCGAAACGGTCTCCATCAAGGCCAGTGGGGCTGGTGTCTAGCCCCAGCGCGCTACTGTATGTGCGAAAGGCAGGATACCCTGGACAGATGCATGCAACCATCTAAACTTACACACTCATACCTAAGGACAGTTTACAGATGAACAATAAACCTAAGAGTCATGTGTTTTGGTTGTGTAAGGAAGCCGGAGTACCCAGAGAGAACCCTCACATGCAATTGTGAAAGTAAAAAAAAAATAATCTGCAATTAAAAACTTCAATAATAGTTTGGGAGCAAACCAGAGAATGTAGGAGGGGTTTGATTTGTGACTCAAAGAACACAGTTTGTGCACTTGTACTAAAAAAAAATAAGAGGTGGAACCTTCTTTTTAAAATTTAAAATTACAAAACCTTGATTTTATTTATTTTTGGTGACATCAAATTCACAATAACGATGCACAAATACCTTGAAAATAAATTAAAATGTAAAATAATTACCATACACATAAATCCTCAGAGAGAACCTCTTCACTAGTAATAATTTCATCTTTCTTTAACATACATTATACATATAATCAAATCTATAACCCGTGTTTTTAGGTTAACACCAAACACGTTGAGTTCAAAAGCTGTGGCATAAACCATGTGGAGGGCGGATGGCCCAAAGACATCAACCCCAAAGACGTGGAACAAACCATGCGCTTCAAGAAGAGGGTGAAAAATGATAAAGGCTACATCAACAGCATCCAGCAACTCAGCAAGGTAAGATCTACTTTAAAGTAACACTGCGTAACTTTTCACCCAAGGTTTAACTTATGTTGAGGTGTGTTCAGTTATTCTTCAGGTCAATATACAGCACATTTTTAGCTAATCAGTGTTCCCTTCAACCTGCCCTTCTCAAAAACTGGCCTATTTAACGAGGGAGTTGGATTTGTCAATAAATGAGTCATATGACCCAAAGCACAACTTTATGGCAGTCTGAGCTCCCATTTAATACAAGACCAAACTAAGCTAAAAGTTGTTGCTAGGCACCAAATTTTGAAACTAATCTGATCAATGGTGTAATAACACAACAATAAGCCCATCAGCAACATTATCTGGGTGGGCCCCATATGAAGTACAACACCCCACCCCCTTTGGTACTTTGAAAAAAACTGTTAATTTTGGGAAGTTTTTTCCATTCTTCCAGCAGCTCGTCTCCCTTTCTCTTTTCTAGAATCTGCTTAAGTACCTCTATTTGGTCTCCATCGTCGCTAACACATTGCACGCAACGGTTATGGTCATAATCTACGCTCTGGATTACCAATAACTCCAAGTCGTATTGTAAAAAATACTCAAATACATGGTTCTTTAGGATGTTCTCTAGGAGTGTGTTTATTGCCAACCGTCTAATGAACTATGCACAGTTATTAACATAGTAATTAAAAGTACCACTGTCTGCTTTGCTATTGGTGTCATGTTTAAACGGATCACCATCCTGTTGAAATCTGGCATGCTTTGCAGTATAGATAAGGTCTGGTCAGTCATTCTAGTATCAGGTGGGTTTAAGAGGAATTTTTCTCACCATTACATCTGCAAAGAGACGTCCTAGTCCACAATTGCGTAGGGGGCTAACCAGGTGTCAGTGACGGGGCCCCTAAGAGGTCGGGGGGCCCCTAACCAACTGCATTCTCTGCTTACCGATATTTACGCCATTGATTCTGATAAGAAATATTTTGATTCTCATCTAAAGTGAAGAAGTTGGCCTTGTCTTTACAAGTAATAATAATATAATTTTTTTGATCTCCCACTAAGGAAATGTACAGCTGCATTTAACCCATCCCCTTGGGGAGCAATAGGCTGCCACTCCCCTCCAGGGAACAGTGTGCAGTTAAGGATCTTGCTCAGAGACCCAGTGTGCAGGCTTTGGGGATTGAACCGGGTACCACTAGGCCAACACTCCATCATTCTCAGTCTGCTGATCCAAATGGGTGTCCAGCCAGTTTCCAAACACAGAGGCAGACTGCTCCCTCAGTGCAGTGATGCTAGTGGCTTCCAAGGGAGCTAAACCTGGAAAGTATGGACATAGCGCCCCATAGTGGCTAAAGGCTGTATGGTGTTAGTTTAATTCAATCAGCAACAACTGAAGCACACTTTATAATAAATATATATATCTTCATATATTGTATATACAGTGCTTGCTTGTTTATTCTTAATGCACCTTTTTCCTCCTTGTTTGCACCTTCTTTAATTACTATGCCAATATGTGACCAGTGAATTTCTTCGCTGTGACATCAATAAAGCTCATCTAATCTAATCTTTAGCCTTTTATTGATGTATTCCAGCTTTGTTTCTTTGTTTGACAACAATATACATGGAGAGAAAATTTGTAACCACTGTCCCTGTTATCATGACAATTAGGTCATGGAACACATGATACAGAACAACAGCATAGACATCCACCAGCAGTACTTTGAGGAAGATGAGGTGGAGGAAACTCCAGAGCTGACGTCTGCAAGAACCGTCATTGTCTTCAGGTATATTTGATCAGCAGCAGAGCAGGAGATTGATTCATTTCTGATACCTGCTGGGTGCCTCATGTCTCCCTCAGGGATCCCAACAAGGTGCAGCGTACCATCTCTGGCCTGTCGTGGCACCCTGATGGCGGCAGGAAGCTGGCTGCGGCATACTGCTGTCTCAAGTTCCAAAGGACACCCACAGACATGAGCTTGGACTCCTACATCTGGGACATGGGTGGGTCATACTGGAGCTCTTTCCGGAGAGGCTTCATGAAGTATTCAACCCCCATTAAGTTTTTGAAGTGTCTAACATTTCAGACATTAATGACAGAAATATAGGAAGGCTTTTCTTCAGCAGGGACAGGGAGGCTAGTCAGAGTTCATGAAAGATGGATGGAGCTAAATGCAAACTAAACTTAGAGGCTGCAGAGGATGTGAAACTTGAATGGAGATTCATCTTTTAGCAGGACTAAGGCCCTAAACACACAGACAGAGCTAAAATGTATTGATTCATGAAATTGAAAATGCAAACCACACAACAAAAATATGCAAACCTTCAGAGCAGAACCTTTTCACCAGTGATCATTTCATCTTTCAGAGAACCCAAAGTGCCCTGAGATGACTCTGGAACCAGATTCCCCTCTTGTTTGTCTGGACTACAACCCAAAGGACCCTCACACTCTGGTGGGGGGCAGCTACAATGGGCAGATTGGTGCGTTCTGCTTCAGGCTTTCCAACATTTTAGCTGAGAATCCTTCTGGAACCAGTGGGATTGATCTGTGGGTTTTTGTCTTAGCTTACTGGGACACTCGGAGAGGCACCCAGCCTGTAGAGTATTCCTCTATGGAGCACAGTCACAAAGATCCAGTTTACAAGATCATCTGGTTGCAATCTAAGACTGGGACGGATGCCTTCTCTGCTTCCACTGACGGACAGGTAGAACATCCCACATACAGTAGTAAAGTGATATCCTATCGATTGGTGAGTGTAGGTGGATCAATGGTAGTTAAGGGACCTTTGGTTGATAGATCAGAGAGAGAACCTCCTTATAAAAATGAGACTTGAGGATGAAGATTTCTCTTGTTTTGTCAGGTTCTTTGGTGGGATGTCCGCAAGCTGAACGAGCCAACGGAGCACCTAGTTCTGGACCCGAGCCGAGAGGGGATTCTGGATAGAGCTTTAGGTGCCATCTCTCTGGAGTTTGAGCCCACCATGGTGACCATTTCTTTCTTTACTTGCAAGCTACAGTCAGTCGTCCGTTTAGAGCTTAAGTTGCAAAGACTATTTTTAAGTGTGGAATAATAAGAGAAGTCTGCTAGAATAGATAGACAGAAGTTCCAGCTGGTTGGTTTTCAGTTGATTTTCATCCTGTTCATGTGTCTGATGTCTGTTCAGCCAACTAAGTTCATGGTGGGCACCGAGGAGGGCCTGGTGGTCTCCTGCAACAGGAAGGCAAAGACTCAAGCTGAGAAGATTGTCTGCACATATCAGGGCCACCATGGAGCCATTTACGCCATGCAGAGGAATCCCTTCTTCCCCAAAAACTTCCTCACCGTCGGGGACTGGACGGCCCGCATCTGGTCAGAGGACATCAAGGAGTCGTCCATCATGTCCACCAAGTAGGATAAAGACTCACTTCACTGAGATCGGCTCTGTAGGGCGTACATTGTTGGATTGAGTTCTGTATTTGTCCTTATGTTTGTACTCTCTCTTCTTCTAGTGATACAGTTTTGTATCCTCCTGTTTATTCTGAACTGTATGGTCTTTTTTTTTTACTTTACAAATTGTATTTCAGGTACCAGATGTCTTACCTAATGGACGCCTGCTGGAGTCCAGTAAGGCCTTCTGTCTTCTTCACCGTTAAGATGGAAGGAGTGTTGGACATCTGGGACATCCTGTTCAAAGAGAGTGAGCCCACCCTGAGTGTCAAGGTGCTTGGATCTCCCTAGTAAACCCCTGAATTTTCTCCTCCCCCGTTTCACAATCGTCATGGCGTTCTCTCTGTTTCTTTGTCCTCAGGTGAGTGACAAAGCTCTGTACAGCCTCCGCATTCAGGATAACGGCCAGCTGGTGGCGTGCGGCTCCGATAATGGTGAGGCCACGGTGCTAAAGATCTGCTCCGGACTGTCAACCCTTCAGAAGAACGAGAAGAGTCTAGTTGCCGATGTAAGAAACGCTGAAACATTTACTGAGCAAAGATCCTTTTTTTAATAACAAGAAAGGTAAATTTGTCAGTGGCAATTAAGAGCAGCACCTCTAAAAGGTATTAATATCCCTTTAGATTGTTTTACCTTTTTGCAATAATAACAATCACAAACTTTTGTGTATTTATTTATTAGATTTATTTTCCTTCGTACAATGTAGAATGGAGAGAAGTCAAGACAGTTTTAACATTATGTAGGGCAGAGTTCTGCTCAGTGTCGCAGTGGGTAGAACTGCTGCCTCGCAGCAAGAAGGTTCTGGGTTCGATTCCTGGTGCGGGGTCTTTCTGCATGTTCTCCCTTAGGTTAAATGGCTTTTTTAAATTCTCCTTAGGTGTGTGTGTGTCAATGGTTGTTTGTCAGGTGTTGGCGACCTGTCCAGAGTGCACCCTTCCTCTTGCCCATAGACAAATGGAGATAGGCACCAGCACCCCTTGCAGCCCTGCTTGGGATAAGCGTCATGGAAAATGAATGTAGGGCAGAAAGTGTTTGTATTCAGACTCTATGAGTTAATTATCTGTAGATCTTCATTAAATTGCAGTTAGAGCTAGAAGCCATCTAGAAGCTGTCACTTTTTGTCAGGCATTCATCTTTGTGAAATATCTCAGAGTCTGTCATTTTGGGTTTGGGGCGAACATTAGTTGCTTCATTGTGGGATGGAGTGTTGCGACTAAGGTGACAATCATGTAGATCATAATGGTTTGATGTGGATATATCAGATCGGAGCATCATCTATCACATGTTTACAGGGTTTTTCTACAGTGACTTTATTTTTGTTGCTACTTTATTAAGGCTAGAAGTGAAGAGTGCAGTGCTGATAGGTTTTGCACTCTGCAGAGATTCACACCTGAGCCAAAGAACTCTGCAGATCCTCCAGTGTTTACATGGGCCTTTAGGACTGCTTCTCTGACTAATATTTTACTCACTAAATCTGTAAACAAAAGGTAAATATATTAATAAAAACAAGCATGTAATTTGATTGTTAGAGTTGTAAAAATAGGCAAGAGAGAATAGAATGGGATAGAATAGAATAGAATAGAATAGAATAGAATAGAATTGAATTGAATTGAATTGAATTGAATTGAATAGCCCTTTATTTGTCCCTCAGTGGGTAAATACAGTGCATCACAGGAAAATGGAAAGTGCAACAATTTTTTTTACTTGGGATACAGATAAACATAGAAATAAACTAGGAAGTGTTGTAAATACCAAGTAAGAAAACAATGAAAAGCTTCAATAAATAATGAAAGTTTTACAAATGTACATGTTATACACTGTTATAAACTGAAAGGTGTGCGCTTGTATAAATAGTCCCCTACAGGATTATAGAAAGCTTTAAAACAATGACAGGACTCTAATAGAGGTGTAATTTAGGATCTCTTTCATACTGAAATCATCTTTATGCACTGGCTTTCAGTAAAAAATGTTGCTGCTTTTTTCTACAGATATTTGAAAGGGAGACGAAGGGGGAAAAGATTCTGGAGGCTCGTCAGAGAGAGATCCGTTTGAAGGAAAGAAGTCGCTCAGAACAGAGCAGAGAGGATGAGGCGAGGCGGGAAGATGGGGAGGATGACCCAGAGCAGCTCATCGCCAAGGCTGAGAGAGACTTCTACAGCTTGGTGGAAGCCGAGAGGAAGAGGAGGGAGAGGAGAGAGGAGACACCACAGGTAAGGGAGCGGAGCGAGGAACCTGGTCCATATTCTACTGGCCTGGATGGACCCATTTACTTTGGTCACATCTGTTTTACAACCAGTCTCTCCTTTTTCCAGCAGAATGGAGACTGTAATGGAAGAGAAGTAAATAACGGAGAGGAGAATGGTGAAACAGTTACCATGAGTTGACTTGTCTTCAAACCTTTCCACCTCTGTGCCAGTTTAATATCTTTTTATTTGCTAATTTGTGCTTTATTGTACATAGTTCAGCTTTGTTAAACTCAAAAACAATAAACTGATCAATAAAGTTAGATTATTATTAGTTTATTTGTGTTTCTGTGATCTGTTACACAAACTGACAGGAAGCACGTCTTAGGATACAAGGATAAAAACATCCACCCAAATATTTTCCATGAATCTATGGAGAAGTTTTCTTACATACATGAATAATTGACTAAAAAATATCTACTCACCACCTCAATTAAACACTTTGGAAAAACTTTCTGCTATTTTCCAGATTTTTAAACACAAGCGGTGTCTACACACAACATTAAATGTATGATTATACAACAATACCAACAATATCAAACAGTTTCTGTTGAGATTTCCTGTAAATATTGTTGGTAAGAGATGAAAGTTGGACTGAGAGCTTAGCTTTGGTATTGTGACATCAAATAAAAACCAAGACAAAAATATACAAACACATAGAAAATGCATAATTATTAATATCAGGCAAGGAAATAAACATGAGGTATCTCTCAGAAAATAGTAAAGATGGATTATTTTAATACCATTTTCTTTCCTCAGACTGCAGAAGTTCATTTTGCAACCAGTTTGAACTCCGCTCTGCTCACAATGAAGCTTGCGGGTAACACTTGATATGATGGACTATAAAAGGTTTATAATGGAGTCATCAGTTTATGATTCAAACACTGCAAACATTTGGAGAATGTTTTTTAGTGCAGTTCAAACTCTGTATAACAGATGCAACCGTTCTTGGCAGAGGTGATCGATGAATGAAGATACAGGATGACATTTAAATAATAGTCAAAGTAGGGAGAGACAGAAATGGAGATGAAAGGTAAAGGAGAGGAAACAATCATGACATCATCCCGAACTGGTCTAATAGATTTCAATAGTAATCTTTTCCTCATTGGAAAACATCAAACAGGGATGTATAATTAAAGTAATCCCCAAGAAACTAGGGAGCGTTATCGCAGATTCTTCCTCCCAGCAGCTGCAAAACTTTATAACCATCACTGTTTCCAACAACCTCAATAAGTTGTTACATTTATGCTGATTTTGCACAGTTTATACCTTAGTCAATTACATAACATGCTGCTGTCATTTTGCACAAATCTGAGGTTACTGCTATTTTCAACTATCCATTACTGTAGAAAATATCCATAGCTTTATATTGGTTAGTTATTCTCCAGGTGTAAAGCATTTATATTGTTAAAACCCTTTACAGTGCAGTATGTCATTTGTTCCTTTTTTAACTCTACTGTTATGTTATTTTTTATACACTCTTCTAAGATCCAAATTTGTGTGACCATTTTTTTCTATAATCTTTTTGCAGCTGTGAACTATTCTATTATTTTCTATTCTATTCTGCTCTATTCTTTTCTATTTTATTGTATTGTATTATATTCTGAATACGCCAGGTGGCGGTAAAGGCACCTCAAGTTGGTTGGCCAACGTATTTCTCGCCGCTAGATTTTTTTTATTTTATTTATTTTTTTCCAATTAATGCTTTATTGGTAATTTCGTGTAACATTACAGACTTAATCAAACATTAAGTGTTAGAAAGTCCATGTTGTTTAGACGTTTTTCTGTTTGGAAACTAATCATTTATACTGCGTTTTCGGTGAGATGTCATATGTCTGACGCTCATGAACGCACCATAGGTGTTCGAAGCTTCATTGAACGCACCACACCTTCATGTGAGATGGCTCAACGTTTTTCCTACAGCAGTGTAAAGCTCATTATTTCCCGTTTTTCCTACAGCAGTGTAAAGCTCATTATTTCCCGTTTTTTCCTGAAATTCTCCATTTGTATGTGTTTACCTACTGGACTTCAAGCATAGATGTACAACAATTGGTGAAACATTGGACAATTATAGGTGAAATAATAACTTTAAGAAAGACATAGAAGGTAAAAATAAATAATAAATAAAAAAAAAAAATAAAAAAAAACCAACGGGTTAAAATGAAGTTAACGGGAATTACAAAATTGTATAATTTTATACAATTTTTCTTCCTCATAAATGTAAGTGATTTTTCTCGTCGCTAGATGTCGCTACTGATTTCTTCTCGCTGCAGTACTGAGGATCACGTGACCGATATCAATAAGGAAGTGTTCTTGTACGTTTGAAAACAAGGCGCCAGCAGGTAATTGTTTTGGGAAATTACATTAAATCTGTCTTATTTGCGTGTTTCATTTTAAGCAACGTATTCCTTTTGTCTTTTATTTATTAAAGTTGTCGATTTGTGCAAAAAACCTTGAGTTAAACATTCTTGTAATGTAATTGTTTTAGCATACATCAAAACTTCCTCTCATGTCTTTTTTTTTTTACTCTCTTCTCGCGTTATTCTGCGAGTTAATCGTGTAATCGTGCCTGGTGTGGTTCAAAGGGATGCCAGACCCGGAGCCGGTTCGGTTCGGTCGGAAACGCGCCCTGCCGTCCTGTCCGAACCCGCTGTTCCTCCAGTGGCTCACCGAGCTCCGGGACGAGGCGAAGGAGAAAGGCCTGAAGATCCAGTACACCTACCAGAAGGTACCCAGCTCACTGCAGACTCTCTGAAACTTTACCAATAAGACACAGTTCGGTGTGAAGGAAGGAGGCAATACCACTGACAGCTGGAGAATAAAAACACATTCTAGAAATTAAAACAGCAGCTTTGCTTTACATGAAAGCCCTAAAATGAGAGCTGTACTGTACATATAAAATGAAAGAAAAAAAATCTGTTGTTAATAATTTGTCAACGTAAAACTTCATTTGTTTGGGAATAGGTAAAAAAAAACCCACAATGTTTGGTTAAATTAGAGGTGTCCTAATACAGCTTTATCAGGGTTTGTTGTTGATGAAGAGAGTTATAAACACAGTTAAAGACTTGCAGGTGAATTAATTTCTTCCCATGTTATGGAGGGGGAACTGGTTATTTCAGACAGCTGAAATATCCATTCTTTCCTCTCCTCCTACCAATTCTTTGGGAAATAAAGAGCAACTGTTTCCAAATTCTCAAAAATTATGTGTGATAGCATGTCTTTTACTAGAAATGTCCTTAATCCAGTAATCTGTCATATTTTACATTAGAAGGGGATTTACCAGAAAGTCTACTCTCATCTTCGCAGGAAGTATTAATTTGTGTGCCCTGCTATCAGCCAGTTTCCATCCTCTTATATCGGTAATGAAAAATTAAAAATACACTAGGTGTTGGAAATCTGTGGCAAAAGTTGTTGAAATACAGATTCTCTTGGCGTTTAAAAAAAAAACAACAACAACAAAACAGCGTAAGAAGACCTCTTTATTTATTTGACAAATTTGTTACAAGAGTTACCGATTAAACTGAATGTTACTACATTGACATTATTATATGAGCTTTTTTTCCTGAGCAATGATCAGAAGTGCCGTGAAAATGGTCAGATCCGCCTCTCTGGCTACAATGCTCGCTCCCGACACAGGGGAATCAGATTTTCACTGGGAAACAGAATTTCACACAAGACAAGTACAATACTAATCATGCAGCTTTGAGTATTGGCCAATACCAATATTGACTAGGGCTGAAAGGATTAATCATGATAAATCGCTTATTGAAATAATAGTCAACTAATTTAGTAATTGATTGATCGGGAAAGTATAGAGAGTATAGAGACGAAAACGTGCCTTTAGCTGACAGAGCGACCCACTGAAATTATACCAAAATAAAAAAAGTAACATTTTGCATATCAGATTTAAAAAAGAAAAAAAGCAAAAACATTTTCGTCTGTCATTATTCTCTATCCAGAACTCCTCAAGTGGAAAAGTTTAAGTTTCTCCTGGTTTTATTTCACAAAAAAAAATCTTATTTAAGATACCTTTGGCTATCGATTAATCGAAAAAATTATGGATGGCAAAATAATCCTTAGTTGCAGCCCTAATATTGAATAAATACAATATCACATGAATCATAAATACTATTAACTATTTCATAGCATGGAATAGGGCTGAAAGATTTTGCCCAAAATCGAAATTGCTATTAATTTTAACCAAAATTGCGATTTTATTTAGATTTTTCTTTACACTAAACCCAAGCTTGTAGCTGTTTCACCCCAGACTTTCAGTTTTAGAAGCTTCCTTCCCCAGAGAACATCGTTACAGCATTTTACTGTAACCAATGTGTGAAAAGGTTTTCACTTTTACTTGCATGCATGGATCTGTGTGCCAGCTGTAATTCTCTCTACCTTTCATGTGGTGAAAAACCCACCTCAAATGTTTTACCAACACCTTAAGGGGGTGGAGGCAGAAATGTGTCTTTCTCAAGGTCAAAATAGGGTGATTAAAAATAAGCGCCTCTGCAGTTTCAAAATTTTTTTTTGTTTTTTTGTGATTATATTGTAAATCGATTAATTCCCCAGCCTTAGCGTGGAATGATAAAAAGTATTGATTTGATGTTTATTATAGAGAGAGTAATACTTTACAACATCACACATGAGAACAACTGACCTTTTTTATTCACAAGAGTTACATTAACTTTAAATAAAAGTGGATATAAGTAAAGTATGGGAGAGTTTAGAGGCAGGTCGATATATATTTCAACATTCTTTATTTTTTTGCTGATATGCACAGTGTAGTAGTTAAAATGCAAGAAAAGTTTGATTGTATATATCCTGTTTGCAAAGTTGCAAAACACGTTTAAAATATTGCATGCTTTTTTTTGCCAAAAAAACATCCACTTTTAAAGTTACAATAAAATGTCAGAAATCAGCTGTGATTTTTGTGTTATTTAAAGGAATTGTGTTTTTTCTTTTTCTTTTTAAAGGCTATAAACTCTTTGAATAAATATCCACTTCCACTAAAAAACGCTAAAGAGGCAAAAATCCTTCAAAACTTTGGAGACGGAATCTGCAAAATACTGGATGAGAAGCTGCAGCGATACTACAGAGAAAACGGTAAGAAGCAGATGGGGCGGAGCAGCTTAACTGCTTAGCTGTTTAG